CAAATGATCCAGCTATTTAAAATGTTGTTTATTATCCAAAAGCTCTATCACATACTTCCTTTAAACATTGAGTCCAATGTAAATACAGTACTGAAAACATTTGAGAGGTCAAATTTAAAAGGTTTTGCCAAATCTGAAATTTTTCTCTAATCATTCTCAGGTTCTCTCTCAGAAAAATTAAAAAGAAAACACCCTTGGTACATTTTAAAATAATATGTTACCTATTCTTCTGTTAAATACAAGCTCATATTGTTTTAGAGAAGAACTACGTTGTTAAAAAAAAAATCAGTCATGCAAACATTGTATGTTAAGTATGAGCCACTGTAGTACAGCTAGTTTCCCATTAACACTGTCCATCTCCATGCTTGCCAATGCTTGTGATGGACTTTTTGAATAACTTCACTCACTTACAAGAGTTAGTCAAATAACTCCATTATATTTACCTGTTTTAAGGCCAAATTGCCAATTATGAGGTTCCATTTCTCAATGGGAGAATCCATTTTTCCAATATTTACCTGTCAAAATTATGAAAGAATTTCAGGCATTTGGGTTTAAAATTGTATTGCTTGAAAATGCACTAACAAGGCAGACACCCAGAAATAATTCAACACATACAAAAAAAGAGACTTTTCGAAAGCACGTTAAAACCAAGCTATAATTTTTCAAGTCGAACATTGCTGTTGATTTTAAATTGTACTTACAGTATCTATCCAAAAGTAGCTACACTTGATGCAGTTTTACATAGTAACTTGTCTAACATTAGCTTACTGTGCAAGATATACTAGCCACCTTACATTCCAGGAATGTCCAAGCACCACCAGTGATTAGGTCAGTGACTGGAAGGGAAACTTATCAGTGTTCAGTCACTTTAGACAGCTAGAGACTTATTATGCCGTAAATCATATAAGTCTCAACCTAAAGCAGCAGCTGGAAAGACAAAAATATATTATTCTAAGAAATTTAAAAGCACATACATACTCTTTTATAATGTATTCCCTACTTGTACTTATTTTTTTGAGTTGGAGAACAAGATTGGAAGAACAGTACGTACCACTGCAATATGACTATATTTAAAATAACTTCCCTTTTGAGATAACTGAAAGATTTTTTACAGGTTGAGCATAAACTTTAGTGGTTTTTTCCATAGAATACTAATTTATAAGATAACAAACTTCTCAAAACACAGGAAGTCTTAATGCATATTTTGTTCTTCTTTTGATAATTTATTTCCAGTTGATTTTACTTACATTTCTTTTCCACTTTGTTCCATTTTGTGACGTGCAAGGAACAAAGCATTAAAAGAAATGCTAACTTAAAAACTTAGAAATATGATAAGACACTTTATCTCAATCTACATTATAAATATTTTACAGTGTTCAAAGTCCAGTCAAAGCTCTGCAATTACATGCATTAAATTTAAATATTACAGCAATATTTAAGGTAGTGCAGATAAGAATCTCCTTCGCATCCTTCTTAAATATATATGCTAAATGACTGAAATGGCAGGCTACAGAGAGCTTCACTCCTTTTCTCCTTTAAAGAAGTTTTTGTAAAATTATCAAAAAAATCCCTGTTAAAACAGTAATCTTGCAAAATGCTTAATGCAGCCTAAAAGTGAGCTGCTGCCAAATGACATAGTTCTTCTTTCCCCTACTATCAGCTACACACTCATGTTTTCTTTCTTGAAGCAGATCTACCAACTCCATGAGTGAGTTCAAGGCAACATAAATTTGCTTGCTGGTTTGATGGAAAGCACTTCTTTTCAGGAAGCAAAAAGGGGTTATCTTCTACAAAATGGTCTGATCCATCACATGCAACCATATAACCATGCACAAATGCTCCTAGGGTTTGGAAGGGAGAAAAAGAGCAGGACCATTCCTTTCAGCTGCAGATATCCATGAAGTAAGATCAAGTTCACTGTGATACTGAGAAATAGATGAACCTAAACAAGAAGTTTGTAAAGTCATATTGCTAATGCCTAACCCTGATAACATACAGTCAAAATAAGAGTCTGCATAAGTTTACAGGGATGACTAGATGAGTGGTGTTTTGGTGTTGGGTTTGATTTTTTTTTTGTTACTTCCTCTTAAAAAAGAAGAAAAGGGAATAGGGAGAAAAGGCAGCAGTGTGAACCGAAACAATGAGAGTGACTCAAACTACAGAACACAGCTGAAGAATACAAACCACACAATATAAATGTTGTGCTTGAGTGGGCAGTTGACCTAAGTACACCTCACAAAGTTACGCCAGCACAGCAGTGGGAGGAGGGAGAACGGTTTGCATTAACACCAACACCAAAAAGAAGTACAAGCTATGCCATGATGTAGATTAAAAACACAGTCTTGAGATATATTTAATGAAATGACTGATTCTTCAGTGGATGGGAAATTGTGAGTGATGAGTAACAAGCAGCCAAAGTAGGAATTTGGGCAACGAGAAGAATGAAGGTGATCAGGCAAAATTTTAAACCGGATATATTATGAATAACAGAAACTTGCTAACAAGACATTATTTTTTGGCTGACTCCATATTGCAATGGAGTAAAGATAATTAGTTTACAGCTCCAAAAGCATAGACATGTCTACAAATTCGGATGCAATTATAAGCTAATGGAGCTAGAAGGGTATGAATTAGCTCCAATGCTGAACTCATGTTAGAAATTTCCTCCTCAAAGATAAAGCTATTGACAGGGGCACAATCTTGCGTTTACTGTAAAGACAGTATCTGGTGGGGAGACAGCTACTGCAAATTTAGGTCTGAGAAAGGAAGATTAATCATACAACTGCCTCCAACTGTTTAGATACACCGTGATTTAATATACTCCTTCAGTTTTCACTTAGTATGAGGATGACAGGACCAATGATTGGATGGCTAAAGTGAGTTGGGGGTCAATGAAATCAATGTGAAGAGTGCAAAGGTCTGAATAACCTCGTTCATAAAGGTCTGAAATAACTGGTATGTAAACTGCAGGTCAAATACCAAACTTTTTAATTAAACTCTCCAGTAAGGAGTGATACAATATGACACAGCAGCTGTTTTTAAAACCTGGGGGAAGTAGAGCAACCAAAGCAACTGTCCTGGAGTTTAAATTCGTACCTGGTAACTAAGCCCAAATTGTCAACTGTAAGAAGTTATATGTAACATATAACAGGTTTCCACAGGTTTTTGTTTGGTTTTGTTTGGGCTTTTTTTTAACTAACAATTAGAAACATTACTGAGTTCTTGTGCATTTGTTTGCCTTTGCAGTAGCACTTGAGGGTATGCTGCTAGCTACCCACCAGCTCACAGAGCTGTGCACGTTGCAACTGGTGTTGAGCATGAAAAAAGACACATAAGAGAAAGTTGGAAGGTTCTTTGTATGATATTTTTTCTGTTTTTTTCACATATAAAAACTAAATATAATCTTGTTAGCATTTTGTTCCTACTGAATTATCTATATTGTTCTTATTCTGTAGAGTATTGTTTTCTTAAACCTTCACTGTGTTGTGCACCAGTGCAAATACACACACACTCTACAACATTTACTGATGAGCTCTTCACCAGCTAGAACAAATCAGAGCCACCACCGGCAAAGGAGAGAATTTTCACCAAACTGACAAGCCTCGACCCTCCTCCCTGTGAAGGATGTCCAATGAACATACAGCATGACCACGGAAGTCCTGGAAAGTATTTCCATCACCTGTGTAACTTAGTCCATGGTCTGTTATGGTTCTTAAAGAAAACAAGTCATACAAGGAAATTAGAGGCATTAGAAAACAAACAAAGCTGGGAAACAGCTTGGAACCAGTGGTGCTGTGACCATGACTTCGGGCAATGCCAAAGAAACTGAAGCTCCCACACAACACATACCATTGTCTGAAGACACATACACTTCACTGACCTCTTTGTAGCCAGTTAATTAAACTTCATGGTGTAAGGACATGAATAGAGCCAGCTAACACGATTTGGCCACGGTAGACATAGGACAATTTCTGGTACTGGGGAGGAAGCCTTCATGGCATGCTTGAGTAAAAACCTTTGAAGCATCAGCTGATTTATGTCTTGGTGAGACTTAATGACAGTGGTAAGTGGCACTGGTAACATTCCTCAAACCAAATCCTCTCAGAATTGGCTGTTGTTTGAGTCTTGGTAGGAGCTTGGGCTTCAATTGAACAAATTTGCTCCAAAAAATCATGTTCAAGACATCTACAAATCACATTACCACACAGTTTACAGGGATACTCTTAGAAATTCCACTTTGGGCTCAGGGGAAGTGGCCTGAACCTCATGATGCCAACTTCGGTTAAACACTGAACATGTAGCCAGTGCTGTGGGAACTCCAGTATCCTTTTTCTGTGTGTGTGAGAGGGAGATCAACTCCTTGACTTTTGGTAACGGTTGATGGATAATACGAACTGAGGTCAGGATTCCCAGTACAGAAATAGAGTCTGCATGACCCTTTTCCAAATGTCCCCCGAGAGCTGTGAGGTTCACAGATGAGATGGCATTGGTGAGGATGGGGAAATCCACCACCGATTGGCCCAAAGGAGTTCTGCAGTCATGATCTGGTAAAGGTCATAACCTCAACTAAGACAAAGAATTAAAGATCCCATTAACTGAAGTAGAAGTGGTGGAGCTGATTCTGACGTTCTTCCTTTAAGCCTTCAGTAAGGCAGATCTTGGACTTGGTATATTTTTCACTATGCAATACAAGCAGTTTCAATCCTCAGGTCACGAACTGTACCAGTCAGGAACAAATTAAGCAACAGGTCAACACAAAAAGCCCAACCAGTAAGGTAAAAGACAAAAGTATTCATGCTTGACAGCAAGATTTAAATACACAATATTGTTAAGAAACAGTAAGAAAGATTCATTCAAGCAGGAACAGGTAGAGAGCGGGGCCCTTGCTGGAGAATGGAAAAGTGATCTTACAAAGGAGAAACACTGCATTAGGCAGTGTTTTACAGAGATACCCAGTTCAGGTGTCAGAAATAGTTTAGTCACATTATTAGAACATTCTGCTCACTATAGTCATTCACACACACACAAAAAAAGCTATATGGTAAGGCAATCTGGCTTGCTTTGGCCAGAAGAAGGAAGGAATGGAACATCTCCTGAGACACAGAAAAAGAACTATGACAAATATGTAAGAAAGAAGACATGGAAAAAATGTACTTATGCTATGTTACAGTCTTGACACACACAAAAAAATAAGCAGACCATCCAAAAAAACACCACAACAAAAGAGGAATAAAATTATTCAGACAGAAAGCTACAGAAGAGTTTCTTATAATTTGATCAACAAAGGTCTGGCGCAGCAGTGGTAGCAATGCTTTAGTTTGGCACCACAGTGACTTTTAGAAAAATGTGTTTGAAACATACACATTTTGTTAGGCTATTCAAACTCCCTCAAGGCCAAAGACATCTGTCAACCTTACCAAATACATATGTAAATCTCAAAAAACTACTTTATCTCTTCTGAATGATGACTCAGAAGAGACCAAATAAGTAAAATTTTGATCTATGGAGATTAGAAGAGGGTCACCTTTTTAAATATGTCAATTTAATAACAGATTTAAAGACCCTCCATAACAGCCAGATTAAGCCATAGACATAAAACATTTGTGTTCCAAAGTTCTATTTCCTTTTGAAATATTTACAACATATATCTGAAGAGTGAAGAGGAAGAGAAAGTTACTTACAGCAGTTGACAGCCGGGATGCCAAGGTCATTTCCAAATTTCCTTTGAGACCCAGAAGTGCAGGAACCAGGATAAAAACTTCAGTAACATTCTTGAACACATCCCAGTGCTATACAAAGGATACAGTGGGAAACATTCAATTGAAAAATTCTCTTTAGATCATCCGCAAAGTATTAAAAAAAATCTGTAACTCTTAACTTAAGCCTCTAACAAAAAATAATTCTTTTTATATCAGACCTAAAAATCTAAAGCCAGAACTGTTATCTATCTAGATAAAATAGATTTATGACTGCATATTACTACTTCAAAGATGAGAATATCAAAAACAAGAGATATAAAATTTGGCCTTAAAACAAACCTAGTTAAAAAAAGATGTTATTAATTGGAAGTCTTTTTTTTCATGACTTTAAAATACTGCCAGGTGCTGAGTGCTCTTGAATTCTGCTCTTAACTTATAATAATATTTTCAACTTTTCCCTTCTAGCTGTGTAGAAACCTCACATAAAACCAACAAGGAATTAGTTATCGTATGAACAGAACCTGCAAGTGAAAAAAGCTTCTCTTTATTCTTTTACTTCCATGTGTGAAATTTAGAAAAGTACAGTTTTCCAAAACTCAGATTTTATAAAGCAAAGACAAACTCTGCAATAATTTTTTGCCTGCACTGAGTTCTCAACACAGATATGCTGTACTACTTTGTATGTCTGCTAATTCATGTATTTAATTTGTAATCATTTACCAACTTTAACTAAATTAACAAAACCATAAACTGCCTTCACATTCATGGATTTGCAATCATTTAAATTATTATTTTAATTGAAATAAAAGGATTCCATTCTCAAATGTAAAAAAGATATGAGAATTTCCTGTATGTCAAGTTACATATGTATTTACTACTGGGAAAGAAGAGCTATGAAATGGTTTGTTAAAAACAAACAAACAAACAAAACCAAAAAAACACAAAAAACAAGCTTAGAATGCTTTGTTGTCTTCAAATTTTCATGTTCAAAACATATTCTGTCACATTTAAAAATCCTGCTTTACTGACATCGCAGTTTAAGGCTTAGTTTAAGGTGAAAAAAGGTAGTACTAACACTAGCTATTTATTTTTGCCTTTGTGTCATTCATGGTGAGCTGGACTGAGAGACAAATCAAGATTAAAAGTAATACAAAAGGAAAAATGAAGATATATCTCAGTCCAGCTCAAAACCAGCTATACAAACACTTACATTCCCTTAAGGGAAGGAAGACAAGGTGAAACATTTTGTTGGAAGCCAGTAGTGGCAGAAGGCACAACTGCTTCTTTTGGCTGATCATTGGGCTGCATCATGAAGTCAATCATATATTAACAGAGTACAAACAAAGCAGCTGTACAAAGAATAAACTGGTAAGATGTAAATGAACACAGCACGAGATTGGTGCAAAGCAGTGCAAGGAAGCACTAAAGTTTGCATGTCAATTTTTATTTCCTTTTTTCTTGATGTATAAATGTGTCTTTCATTGCAATCGGTTGAAGTCCAAGCTTCCTGTACACTCTCAAGATTCTGAGTGACAAAGACGGTCACCTCTTACTCTTATTTAAATTAACTTTGTAAACCCTTCAGTGTAGCTAAAGAAAACCCTAAAGCTGAATGAAACAAAACAAAACAAAGGAAAAAAACACATTAATTTATCTACTGTCTTTCAGTTTGAATATTGTGGTTATTTCATATTGTTAAATAATTTTTTTTTAATTCATACAGGAAGAAAGGATCCATGAGATTTGTATTTATAAAAATTTTATGGATTTTAAAAACTAGAAATTAGGTAGGAAATAAAATATAGCCTTCAAAATGCAAAGAGAAGGCAAGAAAACAAACTAGTCCAACAAATCTTTCTTAAATGTTACTTGCTACAGAACTTTCTTCAAATCTCACAGCACAAAGAATTATTTCTTAAGCAACTGTTACTTTTAACTCCACTGGAATGCTGCTGATACCTACCACCGTGTTAAGCTAGAAACCAGTCCTAAAAATATTCTGTATCAGTAGGATCTTAGCGACGTAATACTCCAAAACAGGTTTTAAAAATATTATTAAACTTAAATCTTAAAATTCAGAGAAAGTTCTATTTTATCTTAGTCCTGAATAACTATCATCAGTTAAATCTGCTACCACAAACCAAGATAATCTGGCTTCTCTGGACCTACTACAAGTATATTTCAAGGTGGATGTGACTTTGCAGCCCTGTTCACATCACTGATGTCTGTAATTCTGAGTGTTCAGTATACTTAATGTTATATAAAAAAGTTACTTACATACACGTCAATATTCACGAAAGTTCTAAATCACTTCATATTATTTTCATATACCATATGAATATAATGCACATTTTCATACACTATATGCATTATCATGGACTAAATGTACACAGTATTTCAGAAATTGCATAACCTTGAAGCACACAAGGAGATGAGATAATGCAATAAATTCTTCTAATCTTTTTAAACTCCTATGTATTGTGGCATCATGGTTAATTACAACTCCCACTTGACTATATATATATTTATTAGTGTCAACAGAATCTTGAACCATTACTATATTTCAATCCTTAGTTAAAGCAGAAGGCAATAGTTTTATTCACCAGCTCACTGTGGTTAAGCGACAACACCTACCAAGACTTGAATGACTCCAAATTAAACTTTGGAACTGTTTAAGATGAGGTTTGGGGAAAAGGAGTTCATAGTAGCACAACAATACACAGATCTAATTACTCCTAAATATTGTAAACATCTACAATAGCACATGTTAGAATCATAAAGCCCACAGACTTTTTTATAACAGCCCCCTGTTAAAAAAACATCTTTCAAAGCAAATACCAACCTGTACAATATCCAAAACCATGCCAGCAGAAACAGTTCCAAATCCTGCCAGCAAAAAAGGTACAAGGATCTGTAATGCCATAATACTACTAGATTCTTTGGGTTGTTTTCTACTTCCTTCCACAATGATATCTTCATTACTGTCACTAGATAGGTTGTCTTCCTGCAACATGGCATCTGTTTCTGAAGTGTCCATGCCATCACAGTAATTATAACTGGTAAAATCATCATAATCAGGGCTACAGCTAGATGGGCTGTGTCCATTACTACCATGAAAACCTGGTTCTGAGAAGTGATGGTACTCTGTATGTTGTTCAGATCTAATATTAAAATTGTGTCCTGCTGGTTGCAATCCATCTTGCCAGACACCATTCACTTTTTTGTGTCTTTCATCCTGGTTTATTTGGTAAACAACAGGAACCATACTCAAAAGCAGTCTCAAAAATTTATCAGACTGAATTGTATTAAGATTTATGGTCCAGTTCACAAAACCTTCTCTGTCATGAACTTTGCTATTTGTTTTGGAGACAGTAGATCTGCCTTTACAGTTAGTCATAGTGCTACAGAAGTACAGGTTGAAAAGCACTTTGTTCTTCAGTTAATGAAGAAATCTTGCAGCTGAGTCATCAAGTGCCACACTTCATGATTTTAAGACAGATAAACCAAAATGATCCTTTTTTGCATGCAAAAGTATTTTTTCATTGATCTCAGATCTTCAACAATTCCGTAAGCCAGACTGGATCTGCAAAAAAGTAAAAAGTATATATTCAAGCTTCAAAATATTTTAACTGTACAGAAGACACAAGATACTGGTTTAAATTATCAGTTCACCCAGCATCTTTCCAAAGCAAGTATTTGTAGAAATGCCAATCTCCTCCAACATTCAACTACCTAAGTTGAAATAAATTAGAAGGTAAAAAAGGAAAGTTGGTGGGTGAGGAAGTTTCACAAACTGATGAGTTTCACTTTCACAGGGAAAGAGAGAGACAGCAATATGGACTGTGAGTGAATTGGTGAGGGCCTAGCTTTTGCCTTTTTAAAGCCTGGGAAGCCAAAGTCTTCAGGCAGGTACCATGTGTAGCCCTACACTCCCAGTGGCCTTGAAAGCAGTAGGTCCCCAGAGAAATGTATTTCTGCAAGATGCAAGGGTATGGACAAATGGAACCCACATGATGCACTGTGAGGCCACTGTTGTTCCTCCCACTCTATGCTAATGGCAAGGAGCACAGAAAAAATAAGGAAAAAAAAAAAGCTGACATTCAAAATGCTTTCAGAGGTGACAAGCCCAAAGCAATATTCTGGACGGCAAAGGTCTCATGTTAACAGTCCCTGCTCTCCATCTCCATAAAAAGACAACAAACCGATATTGATATGTAAAATTCAAAAAAATGTTAATTTAAAATCATAGTAACTCAGTTTTCTCTGAAACAAGCATACAAATTATGTATGTTAAATATAAAGAGCTACCACATTCATTATAAAACAGGACTTTTTTCATAAAATCATAGAATCATAGAATGGTTTGGGTTGGAAGGGACCTTAAAGATCATCTAGTTCCAACCCCCCTGCCATCAGCAGGGACACCTTCCACTAGACCAGGTTGCTCAAAGCCTCATCCAGCCTGGCCTTGAACACTTCCAGGGAGGGGGCATCCACAGCTTCCTTGGGCAACCTCTTCCAGTGTCTGACCACCCTCACAGTAATTAATTCTTGCTAATATCTAATCTAAACCTGCCCTCTTCCAGCTTAAAGCCATTTCCCCTTGTTCTGGCATTAACTGCCTTTGTAAAAAGTCCCTCCCCAGCTTTCTTGTAGCCCCATCAGGTACTGGAAGGCCACTATAAGGTCTCCCTGGAGCCTTCTCTTTTCCAGGCTGAACAGCCCCAACTCGCTCAGCCTGTCCTCATAGGAGAGATATTAAAAATCTGATTTTAATTTAATTTTACATGAGGTGCAGGTTGCAGATATTTCCTGAAAGACAGGATACTCTGATGTCTAGTAACCACTAAAATGTAATTATTTGATCAATATTAACACTTGATGTGGTCAGTTTATTTTGCTTTCTGCAAATACAATATATTTTTTATGTTTAATGTGATTTAATGTGCATTTATTTCTACTTTGAAATGTCCATTATGGTAGAAAACTAAACAATTATATATTGGCAGCCTCAAGTCATTTGACATTTCCTTCATCAGAAGCCGCTTCGCCTTCCTCTTCTTCAGTTTTCATGCTGTGATAATAGTTACAGTAATTTACTGAAAGAACAACAGTTTTCATCTGACTTGAAGCTTTGTTGACTTTGGTATTTATTACTACACCACATTAATAAAGGTAAATGATTGGTATAAACAAAGAAACAAAGGTCAGACAGACCACACCAACACGATATGAGATAACACACCTCCACAAGCTCAAGACTCTGTATCTAGGCAAAGCGGGGAAAATATATTTTTACAGACTGCAGGAAATAAAAATAGTTTAGGGTTAGAAGATTTTTAATCTATTTTTCTTAAGAAAATGAGGCTCCTAAGATCACATAAATTATCTTATGAACCCTCCATTTCAATGTTTTTAAGTAATCCAGTATTTCTGGAGCAATTTCAGATAGATTTGAGAGAGAGTAAGGATGTCAATGCTTTTAGTAACCAACGGCCTTATAAGAGATCCAACTTTGTGCCCCTGCTGTAAAGCATCTTCAGACATTAGATGGGATAATTCACTCATACACTGCCACAGCAAGTCCACTTCAAAAGTCCTGCTAGTCACAGAATTACTTACTTTGTTCTTGTGATTGAAGAGACAACTCAGACACAACATGAAGATTTTTCCTCTATCAATGGCTTTATCCAAGGGAGCTCTGACCAAGAAACGAGTATTTTAAAAATGACAATGGAATTTATCACTTGATTTAGGAAGAAGTCAAGTTTTTCAAGAAAAAACAATCTTTTTTCCACAAGATCAACAGAGGAATTTAAGTAACCAAGATTCCTACAGTATCTTTTGCCGCTCTGTGGCGGATTGTGCTACACTGACCCTTTTAGCATAAGTGCATAAAAACTCCCAGGCTTCAATTCTGCTTTCCACAGACTTTAATTAGGAGTAACAAAACAACTTTTGCTGCTATTCCAGAGGAGCTCTAACCACAGCCCAAAATGGTGCTCTGCTAAGTGCTGTAGAAAGACAGAACAAGAAGAGGCAATCTTGTTTCCTCCTACCCAAAGGTGGTATTACATAAGTAAAAGAAAAATGGTGCATAAAAAAAGACTAGCAGAAGCAGATGCATCATTAAACTAGTAAACTATTATCAAACTCTATGACAACAGCAAAGAGCTTTATAGAAGGATTAAGAGGAATACAAGAGAAGAGAAGTTCATGGAAGTTGAGGAAAACTAAAATTTCAGGAAGGGCATTGTCTAGGGTGCTAAAGGTTGACAACTGATTCATGAAGACGGGAAGTGGCACACTACTTATGAAGCTTGCAGAGGGAAAAACCTTTGCATTACTTTAGCTGGATGAGCTTCAGTTGGTCACAAGAAACCTCTAGGTCAGAGAAACTTTATGATAGAATTCAAGAATGAGATGCAGAATAAAGACTCAGGACAGATGTAAAAGTGTTTGTGATGAAAGACACATATTTAGACCCACAGCAACCTCACTGTTTCTTTTGAGGGGTGGTGCTATTTTTTTTTGAGGAGAGGTAGAGGATTAACAAATGAAGGATTTTATTTCTCCCACAGGAAAATACACTGAGAAAATTTCCCAATAGCTTTAACAAGACAGCGTCTGGCTCTGATTGTGGTTTCTCCAATATGTCCTCCAGTCACATCACCAGAGTGCTAGACCAGTGACTCATGGAAATTATTCATTGGTCTGGAACTCTGGCAAAAGACCAGAGTTAATTATTCAGATTTTTCTAACATATGGATTTCTTTTTTCCTTTTAAGTTTTTACTATCCTTTTTCTTTAAGAAACAAATCTTTTGGGAAGACTGGTTTCATTTAGTATGAGTAAGTGTTGACAAACAGAAATAACACTTAAAAAAAAAAAAAAAAAGAGGAATAGAAAAATCATAGAATAACAGAATGGTTTGGGTTGGAAGGGACCTTAAAGATCATCTAGTTCCAACCCCACTGCCAGGGGGTTTTGCCAATTGATGGGGTTAGCAAAAATGACACAGACATAAACAATATCAGAAACAAACTTATTGTAGTCTAGTTTAAAACAGGGGAAAAATTAGAATAATCAAGGTACAGAGTTAAACAGGGTAATGCACCCAATTATTACTACTTAAGAAAAAAAACATAGTGATTAATAGATACATCACCAATTGCCCAAACACTTATCATCATCCAGATCCTGTACATCAGCTGGGGCCCCCCTTTCACAGCGAAGGATTTGGAGTGCCTTTCCCTGGCAATTGGGAAGTTCCACATAGTGTGTCCACTCGTAGGTGAGGTCTCCATCGTTGCTGTGGGAGGGTCCTGCTTTTATACAATCTAACAAACAAATTACGCAGACAGAAAGGCACAGTAACATCTGGTGGGTAAGTTTCACTTCATATGGGTGCATCCCGGGTTTGGCCACGATCTGAGATATGTCCAAAGAGCCACTATGTTGGTATTCTGCACCTGGCTTCAAATTGTAGGAGGAAAAGTGCCATGGTCTTATTTCATGCTGATGTGATATAGGTTGGGGAAAGAATCTCACAGTCACATTTCATACTACTAAGGTACAGGTTGGGAAGTTCACCCAAAAGTCAACTCTAATTGAAAGGCTTATGGTTTAAACTTTTATATATCACAGGGGCAGGGACATCGTCCACTACAGCAAGTTACTCAAAGCCTGGATTTGAACACTTCCAGGGAGGGGGCATCCACAACTTCTCTGGGCAACCTGCTCCAGTGTCTGACCACCCTTACAGTAAAGAATTTCTTCCTACTACCTAATCTAAATCTACCCTCTTTTAGTTTAAAACCATTACCTCTCATCCTATCACTACAAGCCCTTGTAAATATTATGCAGTCAATGAGGAAGTTACAAAGGGAGGAAGAGGCTGGCATAGATGGTTAACAGTTCAAATAGTATAAAGTAGTTTTGATGACATTTATGTTTTTCCTACCAAAAAGACTTGGTATGACAAAAAATGAGCTCGTAAATGTTGAAAAATGAGAATTTAAGAGGACAAACTGAAAAAATATACTACACGGTGAAGAGCAATTACTTCCTCAGAGTATGCAGAGAAGATGTAACTATGAAACCTTCTGAATCTAACTATTCATTTCTAAAAACTTGTTCCAACAAAGATAATTTTCCAAATGTCATCTGATGTGATAATTTTATTCTGAGTTACAGGACGCTAATATCGCTGTACTTTTAGGGGCTTTTTGTACCTATAAAATGCAGCAAACCATGTAAGGAAGAGTAAGATCTCAGGGACAAGAACTCCCTAAGAAGCTTTATCACTGACAAGAACAATGCCAATTTTATTGTGTTGTCTAGAAAAGATACAGCCAGCTAAAGAAGCAAGTTCTACTCGAGGCAAAAATCATAAAGATCCCATCCCCAGTTTCTGTAGGAATATTGGATAAGTGAACCTGGCTTCTTGCCATATAATTGGGAGGTTACAGAGAAAAGTGAAGTACTAAAAAAAGGAAAAGAGAGAGACAAAGATCCTTTAAGAAACCAGGAAGCAGCC